CCGCATCGCGCGCTTCTGCGGCCGTCTGGAACGCTCTTCCTTCCGATATTAGGTTGGCCACTGGGACCATGTACTTTTTAAATCAAGATCGCACCGGATGTAGACAAACCGTGCGAAAGAAGTTCAACATACATACAACACACGTAATAAAGGTTGGGCTGAAGATGAATACGAGCAAAATGGGAATCACGTACCGTACAGCAAGTTCTCTACACTATGGGAGATATATGTTGGAGAGGCACAACCGGAAATCAAAGCAGAATACCTTGGACAGCTATCAAACGTGGACTTTGAACACAATTAAATAAAAAGGCGGACGAGGAGCGACACTGTGAGAGATGGCAATGGCTTTTGGAAGGGCTTAATATAGCAGTGGATAGATCATAGCTGATGATGATGGTGATAGCAGATCATGAATATGAAACTGGAGCAATGCAAAGCCACGTATGCCCAGCGACCTGTCTTCTTAGTGTTTTTTTTTTGTTGAGAAACTGGATCGTAAATGTATGCTTTATGCCGAGTTGACCTTGGCCAGTGGTTCTTAGCCTCTACTACAGCCTTGCACCCCTTTGGTTCTCAATCGCAAAACAAATAATGTTAATAAATACATAGAGGGTTTGATGAAACAAAGTAGTTGTATTCTTAGTTTTTTCGGTAAAGTGACGTTGAAGGGAAACAACAAAATAATAAAATATATATAAAACAATAAAAAATTCTCACGACGTTTCGACCATAACTCAAACGGTCGTCTTCAGGTGTGTTGGTTTGCATAAATGTATTTTTAAACGGCGCATTTATTTATTTATAAAAACGTTAGCGCCACGCGCAACGATTTGGCAGTTTATTTAGGACTAGTCCATCTATATTATGAAAAGAGGAGGGGGGAGACGAATTTTTTTATAATGTATGCTGTCTGAAAGCCACTGTAAGCGTGAACAATCAATTAAGACCTGAAATGGTTTATCAAATCTTTCCAATGATTGCTAAGATAGAATCCATCTTCTCGGTTGAAATTGTCTCTGTGCTTGTATATGTGGATAGCCTCATGAACGAATCTCTCATGGAAGCAAGATGGCTTACAAAGAACCTCTGTCTTGGAAAAGTCATTGGCATGTGAGCCTACTGAAATAGAACAATGATCTGCCACGGCCGAGGTATTGGTCCTACCGTGTTTAAGGTCTGCTCTGTGTTCACGAATGCGGTCCGAGACATGGCGTTTGGTTTCTCCAATGTAACTACTACCACAGAGGCAACTTAGTTTGTAGACACCAGGGTATTGTATGTCCGGAATCACATCTTTTACAGACAGAACCAGATCACGGATTTTATGTAATGTGTTGAAACGGACCTGGATTTTGTGTTTATTCAAGATTTTGGAGATCTTTTTTGTGATCCCCGCAATGTAGGGTAAAGTGATGGTTTTGAAAGGCTCCTCAAGAGGGTTCTTCTTCATGGTTTGAGTGATAGCTTTGCGGATTGTATAGTCGGAGTAACCATTAGCCCTAAGAGCTTGGTGTACGTGTTTGAGTTCACTGCTTATGTGTTCTTGGTCGGATATGCATTGGGCTCTATGATACAGAGTCTTGATGAGAGAATTCTTCTGTGATGGATGGTGGTGGGAATCTGGTTTCAGATAAGCCATCCGTATGGGTAGCTTTCCTGTAGACAGAGTGGCTCATTGAACCATCAGGTCTCTTTTTAATTAGGACATCCAAAAAAGGTATCTTGCCATCTATTTCGACTTCCATGGTAAATCTGATGGCTGGGTGTATGGAATTGATGTGGTCGAAGAATTGGTCTAGAGCAGGCCGGCCATGTGGCCAGATGACAAAAGTGTCATCCACGTACCTCTTCCATAAGGTTGGGCGCAGAGTAGCAGTCTGGATAGCGTCAGTCTCAAATTTCTCCATGAAAATGTTAGCTATAACTGGAGAAAGGGGGGAGCCCATTGGGGTGCCCTCAGTTTGTTTGTAGAAAGTTCCATTCCAAGTGAAGTATGTATTGGTTAAACAGTGTCTCACCAGGGGGGGTACCTCAGTGTTTAGCCCTTGATGAACCAAGTCTTCAATGATTGCAATGGTGTCAGGTACAGGAACCTTGGTGAATAAGGAAACTACATCAAAACTGACAAGCAGGTCGTCTGGGGACAGGGAAATACCCTTGATTGTCGATACCAGGTGAGTAGAATTTTGTACCGCAGAGGTGGTCTTTCCAGTGAAAGGACGCAGGATTTCAGACAAAAAACGAGCTAGTTTGTAGGTGGGGGAGCCGATAGTAGAGACTATGGGACGAAGGGGTGTATCTACTTTATGTATTTTTGGTAAGCCGTATAATCTTGGTGGCCTGGCAGCAGAAGGTTTCAACGAAAACTGTTTAGATTGATCAATTAATGCGGTTGAATCAGAAATTATTTTGTTGGTTTGTGTGACGAGGCTGTTGGTGGGATCTCTTTTTATTTTTGTATAACTACCATCGTCGAGTAATTCTTTAATTTTGTTGTTGTATTCTATTTTATCCATGATGACAGTAGCATTGCCTTTGTCAGCTGAGAGGACTACAATATCATTTTTTATAAATAAATAAATGCGCCGTTTAAAAATATTTTTTTGCAAACCAACACACCTGAAGACGACCGTTTGAGTTATGGTCGAAACGTCGTGAGAATTTTTTATTGTTTTATATATATTTTATTATTTTGTTGTTTCCCTTCAACGTGACTTTACCGAAAAAACTAAGAATATGAATTACTGCAGTCACGAAAGCTTTAAATCAAAAGTAGTTGTACTTAAGTGCCCGTGCTCAATTTGTGTTTCGATTATTTACCTTCTAAAAACAATCCGGCCATGTCTCGCACCCTCGGAAAGGGCATCTCGCAGGCCCAGGGGGTGCTTGCATCCCAGGTTAAGAACCACTGACCCAAGTGGACTCAGATTTGGTTCTCATTATAATTGCCGGACATCTGGGTCATTTATTTAACCAGCTGAGGGCCTAGCCACTGAGGTCATCTCTTTTGCAAGGGAGACGAGTGAATTTCAACTTTTTTTTTGTTGTTGCAAATTTCTCGACGGTGATTTCACAGCGGTCAAAGGAGGAAGCAACCCAATGATCGTGAGATGAGCGAGGCGCTGCGACTCCGATTTCAAAACATTCCATCTTACAGTAACGCGCGTCGCTCGCACGACATAGGGACGCCTTCATACAGCAGTGGATTGATAACGGGCTGTAACATGTTACTTATTGTTTTATGGATGGCAGCCAATCATCCTTCGGGGGGGGGGGGGAGTTAAATAAATTAATACGAACTCTGTGTAAAGTTGACGGTTGTTCTCCTGTTCAGATAATGGACCCCCACGTGGGAATGCTAAATCTGTCACCGTTGCTTCAGGGCCACCACCAGAGAAGAGCACCAACCCGATGTTCGTCATAGGGGGCACTTAACTTTGACCCCTTAGACCCGCCGCAATATTCCACTGTGACACAATGACTTACTATTCTGAACGATGCCACGTAGTCTCAACATCCACCGTAGACCTAACGTTGGATTGCTGGGTGACTGTAGTAGTGGGAATTGCTGTGTTTCTTCGCGTGCCACTGGACGGGAGGTGATGGGTGGTGCTTGGTGACGCTATCGGCGTCATCGTTGGGCATGGCTTGCAGGGGGATTTCCCTCCTTCGGACGGCAGGAGGTGGGGGTATAGGTTACTATTTTTAAAGGGGCTCGTGGAATCGACAACAACAAAAGTTGCCAATAAAATACATTTTCATAATAGAGGTTTTTGGGCAAGATCGCGTGAATACAAATGTGTCGTTAAACCCACCGCCACCAACCGACACAGCCAATTAGTAAGGTTTGTCACGTAAACAAAACGTGCCAATTCGTTACTAGTACGGTACACACCGCTAGTGTGTTGGGGAGTAAACCCACGACATTTACAATTCGAGCACAATTTTTAGCCGGACAATCGACTTAATGGACTAATCGTCCAGGCTCTTCATTCAAAAGCTCAACCGTGGCTCGGTGACAAGCCTACTCTAACCGCATGGCTCTTTCTGGCTTGCCCCACGTGGCGATATTTCCACGTGTTATTCTCCGCCCGCCAACACGTTGAACTGTCGGAGAGAATTTCACGGTCTGTTTTTTTGTTGTTGCTCTGTAGTCAGCGAGAGTTCAACAGTGGTGGTGGGGGGGGTTAGGGGGCAAAGGCAAGGCGTGAAGTGTGAAGGAATGTTAATCCCCATGGATAATATTGTCCGCAGATGTTTGACCTGTGTCTAACAAGAAGGGATTTCCCAACTGAATTCAAAACAAGCCCGCTCACTCCGTCACGGCATGTAGCTGCGAGCACGCACACACAGTCCTATGGCATTCCCATAGCAAATGCACATTCTCCCACTGTTTGTTTTTTCTTCTTCCAGCGATTGTATTGCATCTGGCCAGGATGGCGCTGCGGATAGAGTGCTTGGCTCGCAAGTTCAAATCCCCGGAATATTTGGACTAAACTGTGTGGTTGGAAACCAGAGTGACCAGATGAAACTCACACATATGAAGGGAAATGTCTTCGTATGTCTGGGTAATATGCCTCCTTGCTTTACTGCCACACACACCTGATTACCCTGCAGTTTGGTGTATCCGAGACACAGCGACTCCGTCTTTGTGTGTGTGTGTGATCCGCCTACCCCAACTCTTAAGTCGGCACATTACAGGCATGCACTTCACCCACGTCGTGCCAAGTAAGCTGTCACGCTTTAAGATGTTTCTCTGTTCATGTTTGTTTGTTGCGGTTGCACCCGACTCAAGAGCCGCATGGCTCACAGGGCTATACCTCATAAATGAAAACTTTTAACTTGAAAAATATATACGGAACAGGTATGTTCCGGAAAAGCTGTCCGTAAAGCGAATCGCATATATATAATATAATTGGAGGTGCGTTCCGATGGCAAAAATAAAAATTAAACCCAAGACGCAATAAAATCACAGCTAAGAATGCAGCAAAATCTTTTTAAGCACATTTAATGGAAAATCGATAATGTTACTATAAAATATTGTTAACAAGACTCAAAATAAGTCGAGAAATACAAATTATCTACTGTACTTACCAGAAACTGTGATGAAATGTGTATTGTTTAAATATGACCTCCAAAAGATTACAATTTAGAGATTCAAAATTCCGTGAATGCAAATTTAACGCAAGGCCTATCAAATCCGTTCCCTAATTTATAATTTACGTTGTCGAGAAATTTCATGTACTGAGTTTCCGTTTAACAAGGGATGACTGTATTTCACTCTTAAGATTATTAGGCATTCATTTCATTCGACAAACACATTTACATTGGAGCAACTGGCATTTAATTCAGATGCGGGAAAATACGACTGTACACTTGAATGTGAACATTTTATACAATGGTATTTACAGCAGATATTTACAAGACGCGCCCGCAACGCATATGCCGGTGGCACGGGGATTGCATGTCGCTCAAAAGTTGACTCGGGAGGGCTAGACATCAACTATGAAAAAACTGAAGGCGAAGCCTCTGCCATTGTGAATCGGGATCCAGTTGGCGGTATGCTATTCATTTCATGGCGGAGATTATGTTAACACCTTGCAACCTCGGAATGAAAATGTGGCGAAGAAAGTGCTGGTATATTTATCCAGCACGAGGTGGTGAGTGTGAGTTAAGGCAATTGTGCAGGATTGGAGGAGGGCAGATGACCCGAGGCGGGAGTTCGGGAGTGGCAGCCAGAGTTCGGTGACCAAGAGGAAGAATACCCTAAGCCAAGGTGGTTGGGATTCCGCTGTGGCGGAATTTCGGGCGTCAACTGCGCGACGGCTTTCGAATCTGCCGGAAGGACGGAATCGATCGATCGCTCTGGTGCGGAGGCATCATTTTACGAGGTGACAAACAAAACCTCGGTTCCAGAACTCCTGTGAGTAGCAGGCATTACAAGCTCGAGTGACTGTGGAAAGGCCCTCTCACCCAACATGAGATGTGGCTGTGCACAGAGTGGTTGGGCACACGTTAAGCAGCCAAACTGTAGAGGTCTCACGCTCATTGCATCCTCAATTGACTGAAAACCCAACTTTTTTTTACAAAGGTTTTTTTTGGAGTCATTGGGAACCGGTATGAAATCATCAAAGCACCATCCTTGAGAGCATGGTGGCTGGAGCCTCGATTCAAACACAAAGCATCAGCAACATTGGCAACATGTCCTATTTAAATAAACCGTTTATTTATCTCGGAAAGCTACGCTAAGTCTCCATTCATTTTCAGAAGCATCCCTGAAATTGGCCAATTCCTTGATGACAGTGCCAAGCCAGGTTGTCTCTGTCTTCACTTGAACAATGGAGCGGTGCTCATCTCAATTAGCGGCCTTGCTTGAGCAGTGGAAACGGCACACTCCCATGGCAGGGGCCAGTCTCTCCATGGGACGAACACCACCAACCTCCCAGGAAGCTGTACATATATTTGATTTCCTCCAAAGTGACGATTGAGCTGAAGTCGACCCCTGACCAGGATTTCGGCTTACAACTCCCCCGATCGCGAGCCAATCGCCGTAACAACGGCGCCACCTGCGGCATCGCCGTGAGTCCACGACGGGCGCTACGAGGGCCCCAGCTACGCCGGGCAAGCCCCGCCCTCTTACTTAATAACCTTCCGCAGCCAGTCCGTGAAGGCCGACACGTTGGTGTACCCTGTGGGCAAGCCGGCTCTGCCCTGGCACCCGCCAGAGTGGCCCCAGCTCACAAGCCCCAGCAGGTGCCAGGGGCCACCAGGCCGCCCTCCCGCGCCTCGCGTCGCGGTCGCCGCGATCCCTCCGGTCTCGGCCGGGCACCACGACGCTTCGCCCGAGCCGACGGGCAGCGCCGGCGCGCAGAACATCCTGGCGGTAACGGGCACGGCGGCGCCGCGCGCCTCCAGCTCGCGCTCGCACTGCGCCGTGCCCATGATGGAGATCTGCGCGGAGAGCGGGCGGCCCGCGTCCGTGGCCGGCCCCGAGCCGTTGGAGGAGAGGCGCCACCCGGAGACGAAGGCGGCGCCGGAGGAGGAGGAGGAGGAGGAGGAGGAGGAGGACGGTGACGCCGCCGGGGTTGTGGCGGTGGACGAGCGGTCAGGAGGGAGGCACACGGGCTGCACACGATCCGACAGGTCAGCGCTGCCCGAGAGGCGGATCACGGCCAGGTCGCCGTCCAGCAGCACGGGGTCGTAGGCGCGGTGCACAAGGATGTTGGAGACCTGGGCATGGGAAGGGCCGATGGGGTCAGGTGGACATATATCATCAGCCATGCGCCAGCCAATTGCAATTCAACAGTGGGTAAAGGTATGCCCATGGCATGATGGTGATGGGGATTTATTTGACTGTGCTTCACCACGCAGGTCAGTCTGGGCTGATGAAGGGAGGGCAGGACTGGGTGGAATATCACTCACCACTGATGTTAGCCATAGCTGGGAATCGAAGCGGGACGACTCGGTTCATAGCGAAGCGTGCTAACCACTATGCCACCGCTACAACCCATGGACATACGTAGTATGATAAAATGGGGCATAGATACTTTGAAAGGATTCATTTTCTCTTAAATATGAGACTGTGATTCCAGGGCCTTGCCAATATTCTCTGTTAATGTTATGATCAATCTTTTATTTTTAATTGTAAGTTTAGTGATTTATACTGAAGGAACTTATTTCCTCTTGCACAGCATGTCACTGGCTCATGGTACATCTGCAGTGAAACGTGCGTTGTGAATGGGAAATTAAAATAGTGTGCGTATGTATGTTGAACTTATTTCACACCGTGCGTAGCCAACCGTGCTAATCGGAGGTGCGAGATGATGATGAGTGATATATATTTACACGAAGGGTGAGAGAAACAAGCAAACAGAGAGGCGGACACAGGCAGACAAAAACAGAAAAAGTAAATATGTAGATCAGGTGCTTTCGTGACTGCAGGAATTACTCTTTGTTTTTTTCGGTAAAGTCACGTAGAAATAATAAAAATAAAATTATATAATAGCATACGGCGTTTCGATTGCAACACAAGCAATCATCATCAGGTACAGAAGAGCTAAATTTCAGAGAGAGAGGAAACACAGAACCGCAGATATATATACAGACCTTAAGTAGAGGCAATTAACACCGACACACCAGGGGACACAGAGAGAGACGGAGCACACTAAATCAAACAGGGTTTAGCAAAATTTGGAAACTATATAAAGCAACACAGACGGTCGGTTAAAACACAATTAACGCATGGCTGGTAGATTACGCTATTTCAAAGATTGCTACATTGTAAGTCAAGTGTGAAATTTAAGAGAGTGATGGAACACAGACCGTAAAGAGACCTAAGGGGAGAGACAGGCACACAGTGAAGAAGTGAAGCCGCATCTCTGTGACGACGCCTTAAGTAGCCAGAGACTGTGGGGCTGGCACTCAGAGACAATGGGACAAAAAAATTTAGCATGAAGAGAGCAAATATCAAAGGACGGTGAAGGTAGAGGTCGTCACACAGGTGGCTGTGGAGGCTGTACGCAGCGCCCACTCGGAGACACAAGGCACAAACACAGGCAGAGACAACACAGCGACACAAACACCAAGTCAAGACACAAAGGCAGATACACCAGCAGAGAAACACAAAGACACAGACTTCATACCATCCCGTAAAGGTGGTTCGAACTTGATTAGGTGCTTTCGTGACTGCAGGAATTACTCTTTGGGTTTTTCGGTAAAGTCACGCTGCGTACAGCCTCCACAGCCACCTGTGTGACGACCTCTACCTTCACCGTCCTATGATATGTGCTCTCTTCATGCAAAACATTGTTTTTGTCCCATTGTCTCTGAGCCCCAGCCCCACCGTCTCTGGCTACTTAAGGCGTCGTCACAGAGATGCGGCTTCACTTCTTCACTGTGTGCCTGTCTCTCCCCATATGTCTCTTTACGGTCTGTGTTCCATCACTCTCTTAAATTTCACACTTGACTTACAATGTAGCAATCTTTGAAATAGCGTAATCTACCAGCCATGCGTTAATTGTGTTTTAACGGACCGTCTGTGTTGCTTTATATAGTTTCCAAATTTTGCTAAACCCTGTTTGATTTAGTGTGCTCCGTCTCTCTCTGTGTCCCCTGGTGTGTCGGTGTTAATTCCCTCTACTTAAGGTCTGTATATATATCTGCGGTTATGTGTTTGCTCTCTCTCTTAAATTTAGCTCTTCTGTACCTGATGATGATTGCTTGTGTTGCAATCGAAACGTCGTATGCTATTATATAATTTTATTTTTTATTATTTCTACGTGACTTTACCGAAAAAAACAAAGAGTAAGTAAATATGTAGCTGGATGGAGACAGATATATATGAGTAAACAGTAAAGGTTATTGTAGAGGATACTGAAACTTATTGTTCTGAAGATAATGAATGCCTGTGTATAATGTAAGAGGAGAGTATGGTTTTTGTAATTGCGATGTGGAAGTTGTGATGGATGGGGCACGCGTGCAAGGGGGGAAAACGACCGTCGGGAAAGGTCTTGGAGGAGCACCCAGAGATCAGTGACAACTGGATCTGTGCACTACTTTTACATTTCAATTTGAAAAACTCATTTCTCGAGAACTGCTTTTTGCGTTTAGTTTCATTGTCATTGAGCCGCACCTCCGATTACCGGCGGCTGGATACGTACGGCGTGAAAGAAGTTCAACACCCGTACGTACGTACGTGAGGCTCGACCCGGTCAGGTAAGAAGAAAACCAGAGTGTGGTGGACGAGCAGGAACCGCGTCCGTGCCCGTCGGCACGTTCAATGCAACTCCGCGCCGGTAGCCCCCTCCCGACCGCCGGTACCTTGGCGATCTGCTCGGCCTTTCCATCGCCGCCGTGGCCGCCGCCCAGCACGACGCGCACCTCGGTGCGCTTGAGCGGCGTGGACGTGCCGAAGTGCGTGACGCAGTGCGCCGTCGACACGAGCGATCGCTCGCTCACCAGCGCCGCGGCGCAAACCAGCAGCCAGGCGCCGTCGGCCCGCGCCCCCGTGCCCGCTCCGACTCCCCCGCCTCTTCCTCCGCTGCCACCATTGTTGTTGCCGCCGCCGCCGCTGCTGTTGGTGTTTCGGCCGCCGCCCGTAGGTGTCCGCACCTGCCGGTAGACGGCGGCCTTCCAGGGCCACGGGGTCCCCGAGATGTTCCAGCCGTCTGCCCTGCCGCAGACTGAGACGACGATGGGTCAGGCCGTCACTCCTTGATGGTGGCGACGATGACTGCGACGATAGCGACTGCAAATATTGTGACGGATGGCGATGATGATGATGATGATCAGAGTGATCATGATAACCGCAAATATTAGTTAAGATTACGATGGTGATGACGATGACTTCGGTGGCTGATAAAAAAAAACAACTGTAATCAATGCATGCTGATGAAATTATGAAAGTGATTGCCTACTAATTGATATATATATACAGGGTTCTTCAATAAAAATGTTAACATTTATGAGAATTTGTAACAATACCACAAGAAATGCCCCTCCGGGCTCTGGAGACTGCCTGGAGCAGATTCCAGGCCACGTGTTGACAATGATGCTGAACAAGTGCAGACTTCTTTGACGTTTTGAAACTATTAACATGCATTTGTTATCATGTTACAGTGTAGTATTATCCGTAATTTTTTTCATCAAAAACGATAGTCCTTTAAAAAGAGTTAACATTTTTTTCAAGCACACTGTAGCATTGCGATTTCCTATCTAGTGATGATTACAATAGGATATCTTCATCCGTCAGTGGATTGATACTATTTGGTTCTTTCGGTAAAGTCACGTATATAGAAAATTCATAGATCACGACGTTTCGATCACAACACAAGCAATCGTCTGAAGGTGTGAGAGAGAAAGCTATTGAAACAAGGCCCGACATGGGTGCATGATGTTGATTCAAATAAAGTTGACTAATGAAGACATTTATTCATGATGACTATATCAATTTAGACAAAAAAATGATGATGATGATGATTGTGATTGATAAATACAACGCGCTGCTTTTGCTGACAATGGTTATTTATTGCAATTATTGATTAATAAATGACTGCGATAACGATTACAACTGATTTTTGGATATTATAATTTTTAACGAATGATAATAGAGCTACGTTGTGGGCAACAGAGGGCAGACAGCAAAGTCCATCGTCGCACTGTACTTCTATGGTTCCCTTCACCAGTCCGTACTGACCAGCACGGTGAAGTATGGTCAAATGATCCCCATGGCCAGAGACACAGGCAAAACCTTTGAAGTTTGGTGGTAGCCTACCAGTGAATGCTTCACGGTGGTTTGTGGATATATTGCAGACGTTGATCATTGTTATTTCATTTCACGGGGCGTGAGCCATGCAAATTAAATCTGGAGAACTTGTAACGTGCTCAGACATCGGAGGAAACCGCGTCGAAAGATGGCCAGAACCGGTGACAATTGCCAAAGCTCTGTGGGCCTTTGTTGGAATGTTTTTTCCAACTCCACTAATGGGTGTTTGCACAGGTGAGAGGAAAACTGGATTTTCCGGGAAACAAAAAAAACATTCCTGCGAGGAGGGCATTAACACTCAATCCCCACGAAGAGAGAAATGAATCACAAAAATCGATTGTAGGTATAAGATCGCGTGAATGTAAATGTGTCGATAAACCCGCCCACCACCTGACACAGGCAATAAATAAGGTTTGTAATCAAAATATTCCAATTCTTTTACAAGCACAGCACACCGGTGTGTTGGAGAGTAAGCCCACATGTTTTATATTTACGTGATCTAACCCCAAAAACCTTTACTATGGATAATATTGGTCGTGAAAGCCGACTAGATGTTAAACAGAAATTTACCAACTTGCTACACTGCTATACCTAGGCAAAGCAGGAGATGGCGACCCTAATCATCCATGGACAGAGAGAGAGTTTCAAGGTGACTTGCGTGATCCACCAACTCCCGTCTCCAAATTGCTCGAGTAAGGAGTGTGCGCCGCACGCGTGCCATTGGCCAGGGTGGCGTTCGCGCATCCGCAAAGCGATTAGCAAGGTTGGCTACATACGGTACGGCAGAAGTTCAACGTACATATATGCATGAGTATTATGTGGATCAAGCGGTATTAGTGATCAACGGCAGTTGTAGTGCTTAACGCACCGCGTCACCCGCGCTCGATTCCGGCCCACAGTCAACATCCGTGGAAAATATTTGAACCCGTCCTGGGCCTCACCCTAGGTCGACTCAGCCTTAAATTACGACGTGTTGCGATGTCGTAAAACATTCGCAATGGGGGAGAGGCGGGCGGGCGTGGTGCTGGCCACCCACCCCCTCGAGTGCCGGTGCCGCCCTTCATCGGTGCTGCTACACCCTAACAGCACTTTCCCCCAACACAGTGGCAGATGTTAACTACCTCACCTGGTGTACAGGAGGTCTTGGGTTAGATCCCAACCCTGACACCTCTATATTTGGAGTTTGCATGTCTCTCTCCCAGTAGTTGCATAGATTTTTCTCCGGGTCCTGAAGTTTTTCCCTCCACGTGATAAGCCACTTCGTTGAGCTATCATTTTACGCGTAGGCATAGCGACCAATATTATCCATAATCGGGGTTTTTTTTTGGGTTAGATCGCGTAAATATAAATGTGTCGTTAAACCCGCCACCGCCTGACACAGCCAATTTGTAAGGTTTGCCACGTAAAAAAAAAAACGTGTCAATTAGTTACTAGTTCAACACACGGGTGTGTTGGAGAGTAAACCCACAACATTTACAATTCCGAGTACGCGATCTAACCCAAAAACAAACAAACACAAAAAAAAAACCTCTACCACGGATAAAAAAAATCGTTCAGTTAAGTTTAAAGGCCCCACGGTGGGGAGTGTTCAGGGGGACCATCGTGTTGGCGGTCGTGGTGGTAGAGGGGGTGGTTGCGCGTCGTACCGGGCACGCAACGAGCCGCCTGCCCGCTCCAGCGGCCCGTTCGGAGGCACGTGCGCCGCGCGCTGCCCGTCTGCTGGTACCAAGCGGCGGGGCAGCGGAACTCGAGCCGCGCGTGCACCGGGTAGAAGCCGGGGGCCAGCGCGCTCTCGTTGGCGCCCGCAGACGCCGCCGCCGCCGCCGCCGGCGCCGCCGCCGCCTCTGGCTCCAGCACCACCTTCTTAGCCCCCTTCTTCGGAAAGAGAACTCTCTGCACCGGTGTGGTCCTGATGGGAAAGCATCATCATCGTCGTCGTCATCGTCGTCGTCATCGTCGTCGTCGTCGTCACTGTAGGAGACAGTGTTCTTCACTCATTTTCAGAGGGGCGCTGCGCGAGAGGCCACCAGCCGCTGCCGGCGGCTCGCGGGCCTGGCGGTGAAGAACGCTGCTCGAGCCATTATCATAACGCGAATGTCTGCTGGCTTGCTGCAGAGGTTCACGGTTCGAACCGTGCGGCTGGCCCGGTCAACACTGCGGGTGTATTAACCGCTCGCGCCACGCGCTCCACGGTCGATGTTAGAGCTCCCGTGATGTTGGCTGTAAAAGAGCAGGGCCTTGTATGCTTGTGTAATGGTCCAAATTTGACAAATTTCTTAATTTGGAGAGAATAACATACAGTGACATGGCCCCTACTGGCAGTAGACTATATACATGTGCAAGCCGGTGCTGTGTATACCTTGCGTCGCATAGGCACGGATTCTGCTGGGCATCTCCGAGGCTATATCACTGCAGGGCAATTAAACTCTTTAGATGAGATGTGATATATAATTCGCTTTTATATGCTTGAGGCGTTTAAACGTCCGACAAAAAAAACCAAATCGTAATAAAAATCGATTACAGACTGCGCCAATGACATGCTCATCGTGCGTGACGTCAGTCAACTTCAAGGATATCATCGATCATCAGCTATTAATCCTCAATCATTGAATCTATTAATTGTCATCAATAATCAGAATATAACCATCGCTGTCCTGATCTCAATTGTTGATCAATAATATCATTGCCCATCGTCGTCACCATCATCATGCGTGACCAACAATTGTGTTAATAATAATTTACATGTAGTTGTGAGGAGCCTTTCACTAATGACTCAAAGGCGCCTTGTAAAAATAAAGACAAGGAAAGGTCAAGAGAGACGGAGAAGCTAAATAGAATTAACTGACTTAATAAGATGTCTTCTTGGTTCTTTCGGTAAAGTCACGTAGAAGGGAAATAATAAAATAATAAAAAATAAAACATAATAAAACCAATTATAACGACGTTTCGGCCACAACACAAGCAGCCGTCCTCAGGTGAAGAAACATAACTGTCGGAAAGACAACGCTCCAAATGCGAAATGTCGTGAGAATTTTATTTTATTGTGTTTTATTTTTATTATTTTATTGTTTCCCTTCGACGTGACTTTACCGAAAGAACGAAGATTAATCCCTGCAGTCACGAAAGCTTTAAATAAATTTTTTATAAGGTGTGTTTTAAGACGAGACTTAAGAGTATCCACATTATCGGAGAAACACATTTTACAACGCTACACTACCGCTCCCCACTACACATACACACATACATTCCACAACCGTGGCACAAACACAACAAATGCCCCCCCCCCACCCCAGGAACGCAGCCGGGATCGAGGTTCGCACAGAAGGGCGGAGTCTGGAGATCTCAAGGACCTTGAGGGGGTGTACGGATGAATATTTTCATCGCGAGTCATCAGATATCACCATCGTCGTCGTTACGAAGCAACACTTCCGTCAACATCTGTTGTTTTCATCAATCATTGAGATCCTTTCCATTCATCATCATCATTGTTGTTTAGGCGCAAGCACCTGTTACATTAACCTGTTCAAAACGATATTTCGTGACTGATGCACATTCATTTATAACCACGTTAAATAATAAAATTAACATAGCAATTAGACTTTATGTTGCAAAACACCGTGTCTTTTAATTGCTGTGATACAAAAAAGTGCCATTGATTAAGAAAAAGATAAAATATTACATGTTGAAATTTTTTTTTTACATATATATGACTTAAACACAATTGTTAAATGCTGTAGATCGCTCGCTCTCCAACACACTGGTGGTGGTACTGAATTTGTTGGCCGCTACGGTTGGAAGGGAGAATTTGCGACACATTTTATTTTTGCGATCTGATCCCCCCAAAAATATATATTATGAATGGAAAAAAAACTATTATTATATTTGAATAGAAAAATTATGTTTTGTTAAAATCTACCTCTGTTTGGTCGGTCTCGGCTTCATCAGAACAAACGTCATTGGAGGTGGGACGTGTGGGAGCCTGCAAGCTGACTCACACACACAGCACAGACAAACACAAAGATCCCCCGTATAGCCTTAACAGGCCGTTGGGACAAGTGCTGTTTGCGAGCACCTATGAAGACCAGCATGGCACACGAAGGGGTGGGTGGCGAGCACTACGCTCAGCCGCCTTTGTCTCCCCAGTGGTGGTGTTTACACCCTGCACCAGGTACTCATTGGAGGCTGAGTTTACCTAGGGGAGACCCAGAACCGGTTCAGATAATCGCCACTGGTGTTGACTGTGTGCGGGAATCGAACTCGGGTCGCCAGGTTCGTAACGCGGTGTGCTAACCGCTGCGCCACTGCTCCGCAACTCACGCGGAATCTCACACAAAGCGACGATGCGAGTCAATCGCTCCCAACACATAACGTGGTGGCCTCGACGTCGGCACTCTCGCCGCTGAAGCAATCCATCTGCACGGAGCTATTGGTTTCATTCCCACGACGGCCACCAACGCAGTTGCTTGCGTGCATCTGTCAACACCTGCGATGAGCACGGTTGGCTACGTTCAGTGCGAAAGAAGTTCAACATAAGTACAACTGTGTTGTGGATGCTCACGGTTCCGATTGATGAGAGATGATGATGATGATCTCAGTCGCGCGAACAATAGCTGCACACAAAAACCACCCTGGGGGGAGAGTCTATTTCGTACGTTTGTATGTTGAACTTATTTCGTGCCGTACGTAGCCAACCGTGCTAATCGGAGGTGTTCTTGTTGGTTAAAGCCCTGAGTAATTCGTGGGAATTCCACGTTCGTATGGCCGGGGGCAAGTATTTCCATAAGTCCAAAGGACAACTGCTGTAATCTTCCCAAAGGGCTGATTCACACGGACGGGATGTGAACCTCCAACCTTCCTGCTTGTGCGCTACACACTCAAAACTGTGGCGTTGCAAAATTATTATTTTCGCTTAATTTGGCTTAATGTCAGCTCTGAGCGCAACAAAAAATATTCACCTCTGCAATGGATGACTGATAGGTGCAGGATCACTCTCTTGGGAGGATGTGGGACATCTTCCGCTGGGCCAGAGAGGCCTCACGATGAAGCAGAAGTCCGAATAATGACGCAGGCAGAAGTCAGTGCAGTGAGTTGCGAACGCGAGCCATCGACTCATGTATTGTCACCTTCTGGAGTGGCTTCCCTGACCCGATGTTGATGCTCTGCTGAGCTCTGAAACGTCTGTTTAGAGTACTTGGCTGCAATAAACTTCCACGTGATAAGCCACTTCGTGGAGCTTATCATTTGTGTGCCAGTTTGGTTCTGAAAAAAGAGCTGTACAGCTCAACGGGCCTTACCTGGCAAAATAAAAAAAAGAGTTTTTTTAAGAATCATGGGTGGCACTCACGACACGATCACCGCGGTCGTTGCTCCATACGCCGCGTGGACGGCGCGTCTCCGCGTCACCGACACGCATTTCGACTTGCCTCATTCAGACATCGGCGGCGGCCCCCGCGGCTGCCCGGCTTTCCGCGGTTCAAATACGCAACCTGGGGCCCCCCGGCGCGGCTCGGCGGCACGGCGGAAGGACAAAAACAGAAGAGGCGACGGTTGCCGACGCTCCGGAGCTCTCTCACCTTTGACGCAGGCGGCCGGGCGGCCCGTCCACGCCCCGTTGGCCCCGCAGGTCAGCCACCCGCCTCGGCCCTGCCGCACGTAAGGGGGCCGGCACGCCACTTGCAGGGTGCTGCCCGCCCGGTAGCCGCCGGCGCCACCGGTGCCGCGCTCCTCGGCCGGCGCGCTCGCGTTGCGGTCGATCTGCCCGTTGCGGGGAAGCCGCGGCTCTGGGCAAAGCCTCTCCTCCTCCACTGCGAGACGCGCAAACGAAAAACGCGAGCCGCTGTGAACACGTTGGCGGCGGCGGCGGGTGGGGTGGCGGGGGTTGTGGAGTGGCGGCACAGCGGGTTAGCGTGCTACGCTGCCCACCGACATGACGTTAGTTCGATGGTTGACATGACAGCTGAATGGTGGCTCACTGCATTTGATCCGATTAGCACAGTTGGCTACGTACGGTGTGAAGGAAGTTCAACATACCAACATACGCATATGTTTGTTAGTGGTGGGTTTTGTTGCGATGATCCATGGCTGTAGTGCAGGGTCTCCTGCTGGTTTCAAACGCCAAATAACCATCGCGGGCAAAGCAGTCAATCTCATTGTGACTGGCGCTGATTTGCAAAACATTTTTATTGTTTTACCGCAAGACGGAGTGGGGATGTCCCAGGTCCCATCGAGCTGACACACGGCTGAGATGTTGCCCTGGAGAACGAAGCCTCCGTCACAGCTGAAGAACACCCGGTCCCCAAGGCCAAAGTCCTCCCCTTCGATCTTCAGATTTCGCGGAAGCTTGGGTCGTCCGCACATCACCACTGCCACGTGGGGGGAGGAGAGACGCGGCCATCAACACACAGAGCGAGCCACCTCGGAGGTGCAGTCTCACCTGTGCAATGGGCTGAGGGGCCTAGCAGAAGGAAGCGACGATGAAGTGTGGTGGCATCGACGGCTTGGGGCCCTGATGACCTCTTTACCTTGTCCTTGATTTTCACTGAGTCGGACTCTCAGCATGGAAGACGCTAGTTGTGGAGGAGAGCCGAAGGATTGCGTCTCATCAAGTCAAGCCAAAATGTCTCCCCGCTCAAAACGAGAATTTTTTTTATCTTAGCTCGTCTCTGTCAGTGACCCTAAGCCAGTGATGGAAAGATTCCACATTCCTATGGTCAGTGCCAGTATATAAATTGGCCAGCCAACACATTGACCTTCCACAAAGTGGTGCTCACTCTGCGGACCCCCAGATGAATGTGGGCTTGAGTCACATCGTTGATAATTTTAAACTGTGCTCTCAAGATTTAATTTCAAAAGGTGACAATGCTACATGCAATCTCCCTTTGGTCAAAATAGCATCGCGTCTAAGAATGCTCCGAGAAAATGACATCTCACAACTACTCTACTTCAACGTACCTCTCTCACCCACCCACTGCATGATGCTCCCTCACGCTCAGCAGGACTGCTTTCACCACATGTGAATCATATGATACGTTAACACTCGCTAACTCTCACAGGTGGCCAAGACGAAGTGAGTGAAATGCGCAGCGGCCTTTGGCTCACCTTGGAACAAAGACAGTCGCCACATCGCATGCTTTCAGAAGCACTTCTGCAGCCGTTTGGAATTCTCTTCCTTCCGATATTAGGAAGCAAATGGAGTTATGCACTATTAAATCTAGATTGAAAACTAATTTCTTTAGAGCAGATTTTTTGTGTTTATTTTGTTGTCCTTCCCCGCACCTCCAATTAGTACAGTTGGCTACGTACAGTGCGAAAAAAGTTCCACATACATACATGTAGATAGTGCAGTACTCGGTGACCTGATTGAAACCATAAACTCACGAAGCAATGGGTGTCTGCCCCTGATTGGAACCAGAAGGTCTGTCCCACGGACCACTTGGCTACCTCTTCTGACTGTGCAGGCCGTGATTATGAATTCAGATGGCCAATCAACAGCAACTGTTACAGATTCAGTTCTAAGTGATTTAACCGTTCAATTGCCTTTTCGGAGAGGTGGTGAATAAAAAATGTATATATTTGGGTAAGTACGAAGGTCCATGGTTTTGGTATTTGTAGCGCATAAAACATAGGGAGCCAATTTTCCACCTATTCATCAATAATTCACCACATCTTCCGTGGTCTGCGCAGATGTGGTTAAGTGCTACCCATTGTTTCTGTGGGAGATTGAAACCTGCCAGTGGCCTCACTTATATATATGGCATTTTTCTATTTTATGGCAAGCTTTAATACCACTAAGCACTGACACCGACATGGATTTTCTTTCCCCTATCATGCTGCCGGTTGTGTTAAGCATTAATGTCCTGGCTATTTATTGATATGGTCTAAGAGGAGCCTACCTCTCTCACAGAATGAGCCCGTGTATCCCGCCAGACAGAAGCATTTGAAGAGTGTCGAGTTGTCCAGAACACACGTCCCATCATTCTGGCAGGGCGAGGACAAACACGCTGGAAAAAGGGGCGACCGCAAACAACCGTGTCAAAGAGCTGTTTCGAGCAACTTGCAATACAACAAACTCATTGTGCGTTGTTATAGAACAACGTATGCATGTATATATGTGTAGTGAGTCACCTCTGAGATACTAATAGGAGGAGGCAACACACGTTTATTCCACACTCTTAACACTGTTCACACACGGGATAACTATAAACGGGTCAGAGCAGCCGGCACGCTGTCTGACCCACAACGCCGGAGACGAAGACGTAGCACGTTGGGTTCCACTCCACCGACAGACAGCCCTGATCCAGCCTCGGGACTTCCCTTTTATGCCCCCCCGGCGTGGCCTGGCTCCGCCTTTGGCCATGCCCCATTCTGGAACCTCCCAGAAGGTTCTGGGCCACCTTCCACGTGTCCAATGCCTGGCTCCGCACTTGGCTACGCCCCCTTCTGGAACCCACCAGAAGGTTCTGGGCTATACCTCACGTGTCCCCTCGGTCACCTTTGCCCCACAACCTTTACCCTTATCACGTGCTCCACCAGCCGACCGGGGTGCCACGTCCTCATATGCCCCCTTCTGCCAGCAGCCAGCGCCACGCACCCGAGTGACCCACTCCGTGGCATTGCTCTGCTGGCAGAACGGCTGCCACACCCTGCTCTGCCAGCAGGTCGGCCATTATGCCCACATTCCCTCTCTCTGTCAGTAACCAGCGCTACGCACCATAGTGACCCATTCTATGTCACTACATATGTACGGTGAACCTCTTTCGCACCATAGGCAGCCGTGCTAATCGGAGGTGCGGGGGAAGGACAACAACACTAAACGCAAAAAGCAGTTCTAACAAAACGAGTTTTCAATCTCGATTATTTAAAAGTGCGTAGCTCCAGTGGCTTCCTAATATCGGAAGGAAGAGCGTTCCAGACGGTCGCAGAAGCGCATCTGAAAGTAAGCGAGGGTAATGTATGTATGTTGAACTTCTTTCGTACAGTATTTAAACGAGCACCCATCTCTTACTGCATGCAGTGTAAAATAACAACAACAGCTGCCGTTTGCCACTAAGTCGTGGTGACATCACCACAGTGCTTGTGCCAGGCTAGGTGCACTTTCAGGCCCCGTCAAGTGTCCAAGGCTGACTGAGCATCGTATGGAGTGACAGACCAGGTAGCTTCTACACAGTGTTACCCAGCAGATAAAAATATAATACCGTTTGACTTATTCAGAGTGAGACTTCTATTTACAAACCGTAACTAGTCATAAGCACATTGTCCAGGTGTGGGAACTACTCCACTCTCACCACCAGTGTCCCATCACTCATGGGGAGGTGAGGGCGTGGAGTAATCGATTATTTCGGTGGCAAGAAGTTAACTGCCTCGCCTACTATACAGGAGTTTGTGGGTTTGATCCCGACCCTGACTCCTGTTTATTTGGAGTTTGCGTGTCTCTCTCGCCGTGGTCGCGTGGATTTTTCTCAAGGTCCTCCGGTTTTTCCCTCCACATTTAGAAACACGCATTTAGAGTATTCGGATGCTATACATTTCCACACAATAAGCCACTTCGTTGAGCTATCATTTGTGGCCAGGTCACTTCTGAAAAAGAGCAACTTAGCTCAGTGAGCGTTACCTGGTAAAGTAAAAAATATGTAAATTTTGATTTAAAGCTTTCGTGACTGCAGTAATTCGTATTCTTAGTTTTTTCGGTAAAGTCACGTTGAAGGGAAACAACAAAATAATAAAATATATATAAAACAATAAAAAATTATCACGACGTTTCGACCATAACTCAAACGGTCATCTTGAGGTGTGTGAAGATGACCGTTTGAGTTATGGTCGAAACGTCGTGATAATTTTTTTATTGTTTTATATATATTTTATTATTTTGTTGTTTCCCTTCAACGTGACTTTACCGAAAAAGCTAAGAATATAAAAAATATGTAGTTTCATAGTTTACGTAACATACGGTATGTTCCCGTGCATGCACACGCAAATGCACGCAGGCACGCATCCAAAACGTACATGGCTAATCATGTGTAAGGCTAAGATTATGGTGGTTACAGAAATGGTGAATTTATTTAAAGTCTTTGAAATATTAAAAATGTATGTACGTCGTTGGGGGGGGGGGGGGGGGGGGGGGGGGGGGAGGAGTTAGGGGATGAGGGGGGGGGGAAATTCCATCCAATGACCTTTCCGTGGATTATTGTGAATTCTACTCAAACTTACTGTGCCCAAAATTGTAGCCTCGATTACGAATCAAATTTAAAATGAGTTTGTTATGTGATGAGTTAGCTCTGCAGTTGGTGTAATGGATTTTTCCTCAGCAGAATGGGCAGGTGCCAAGACGTGGGCATGAAAATGCTGCTCCGACTATTACTCAGAATTAGTTTAAGAACGCAAATAAACAAAAAAATATTTTCTCGCAAGCAGCGTGTGTAACAACTGTGGGTCGCTGAAAGTCACACAGCAGCTCATGTTGCCAAACTATGGAGTGCCACGGTAGCGAGGAGATGTTATCTCCCTCGCCTGGTACGAAAGAGGGCGCGGGTACGATCCTGCTGTATATTAGGGGTTTACGTGTTCTCTCTTCCCGTGCTTGTAGATTATTGGGCTGCTACTACTATAAATTCCCACATATGATGATATCAGCGACTTCGATGCGCCATCACGTGTGGCCAGGTCGCCTCTGAAAAGGAGCTAATAGCTTAGTGGGATTTATCCGGCAAGTAAAATAGGTTATAGCTTAGTTCGTGGAAGATTATCGGAGCAGTGGGAGGAATGTCGTAAGTCGTCCTGCGTCGTTGCCTTTTTGCACGCTGGTATCAGCCTTATGAAGGATCATCGGCACGGTATAGCTGCTATGTGATCACAAATATATGTCGGTGTCACACTTAACATGGATCGGGTCTTCAGAAAGTAGATACGAAAAATACATCGTATATTTAGACAACAGAATGACAGACCGGCCTCTGGTGGTGTCTCTAGACAATAGACTGACAGACCAGTCTCTGGTGGCGTCTCTAGACAATAGACTGACAGACCAGTCTCTGGTGGTGTCTCTAGACAAGAGAATGACAGACCGGTCACTGGTGGCGTATCTAGACAATAGAATGACAGACCAGTCTCTGGTGACGTCTCTAGACAATAGACTGACAGACCAGTCTCTGGTGGCGTCTCTAGACAATAGACTGACAGACCAGTCTCTGGTGGCGTATCTAGACAATAGAATGACAGACCAGTCTCTGGTGGCGTCTCTAGACAATAGAATGACAGACAAGTCTCTGGTGGCATCTCTAGACAATAGACTGACAGACCAGCTTCTGGTACGTCTCTAGGCAATAGACTGACAGACCGGCCTCTGGTGGCGTCTCTAGACAATAGAATGACAAACCAGTCTCTGGTGGCGTCTCTAGACAATAGAATGACAGACCAGCCTCTGGTGGCGTCTCTAGACAATAGAATGACAGACCGGCCTCTGGTGATGTCTCAAGACAATAGACTGACAGACGAGTCTCTGGTGGTATCTCTAGACAATTGACTGACAAACCAGTCTCTGGTGGCGTCTCTAGACAATAGAATGACAGACCAGCCTCTGGTGGCGTCTCTAGACAATAGAATGACAGACCAGTCTCTGGTGGCGTCTCTAGACAATAGAATGACAGACCAGCCTCTGGTGGCGTCTCTAGACAATAGAATGACAGACCAGTCTCTGGTGGCGTCTCTAGACAATAGAATGACAGACCAGTCTCTGGTGGCGTCTCTAGACAATAGAATGACAGACCAGTCTCTGGTGACGTCTCTAGACAATAGACTGACAGACCGGCCTCTGGTGGCGTCTCTAGGCAATATAATGACAGACCAGTCTCTGGTAGCGTCTCTAGACAATAGAATGACAGACCAGTCTCTGGTGGCGTCTCTAGACAATAGAATGACTGACAAGTCTCTGGTGGCGTCTCTAGACAATAGACTGACAGACCGGCTTCTGGTGGCGTCTCTAGGCAATAGACTGACAGACCAGTCTCTGGTAGCGTCTCTAGACAATAGAATGACAGACCGGCCTCTGGTGGCGTCTCTAGACAATAGAATGACAGACCAGTCTCTGGTGGCGCCTCTAGACAATAGACTGACAGACCAGTCTCTGGTGGCATCTCTAGACAATAGAATGACAGACCAGTCTCTGGTGGCGTCTCTAGACAATAGACTGACAGACCGGCCTCTGGTGGCGTCTCTAGGCAATATAATGACAGACCAGTCTCTGGTAGCGTCTCTAGACAATAGAATGACAGACCAGTCTCTGGTGGCGTCTCTAGACAATAGAATGACAGACCGACCTCTGGTGGCGTCTCTAGACAGTAGACTGACAGACCGGCCTCTGGTGGCGTCTCTAGACAATAGAATGACAGAACAGTCTCTGGTGGCGTCTCTAGACAATAGACTGAGAGACCAGTCTCTGGTGGCATCTCTAGACAATAGAATGACAGACCAGTCTCTGGTGGCGTCTCTAGACAATAGACTGACAGACCGGCCTCTGGCGGCGTCTCTCGACAATAGACTGACAAACCAGTCTCTGGTGGCGTCTCTAGACAATAGAATGACAGACCAGTCTCTGGTGGCGTCTCTAGACAATAGACTGACAGACCAGTCTCTGGTGGCATCTCTAGACAATAGACTGACAGACCGGTCTCTGGTGGCGTCTCTAGACAATAGAATGACAGACCAGTCTCTGGTGGCATCTCTAGACAATAGAATGACAGACCAGTCTCTGGTAGCGTCTCTAGACAATAGACTGACAGACCAGTCTCTGGTGGCGTCTCTAGACAATAGACTGACAGACCGGCTTCTGGTGGCGTCTCTAGGCAAAAGATTGACAGACCGGCCTCTGGTGGTGTCTCTAGACAATAGACTGACAGACCGGCCTCTGATGGCGTCTCTCGACAATAGACTGACAAACCAGTCTCTGGCGGCGTCTCTAGACAATAGAATGACAGACCAGTCTCTGGTGGCGTCTCTAGACAATAGAATGACAGACCAGTCTCTGGTGGCGTCTCTAAACAATAGACTGACAGACCAGTCTCTCGTGGCGTCTCTAGACAATAGAATGAAAGACCGGTCTCTGGTGGCGTCTCTAAACAATAGACTGACAGACCAGTCTCTGGTGGTGTCTCTAGACAATAGAATGACAGACCAGTTTCTGGTAGCGTCTCTAGACAATAGACTGACAGACCGGCCTCTGGTGGCGTCTCTAGACAATAGAATGAACGACCGGTCTCTGGTGGCGTCTCTAAACAATAGACTGACAGACCAGTCTCTGGTGGTGTCTCTAGACAATAGAATGACAGACCAGTCTCTGGTGGTGTCTCTAGACAATAGAATGACAGACCGGCCTCTGGTGACGTCTCTAGACAATAGACTGACAGACCAGTCTCTGGTGGCGTCTCTAGACAATAAACTGACAGATCAGTCTCTGGTGGTGTCTCTAGACAATAGAATGACAGACTGGCCTCTGGTGACGTCTCTAGACAATAGAATGACAGACCAGTCTCTGGTGGCGTCTCTAGACAATAGAATGACAGACCAGTCTCTGGTAGCGTCTCTAGACAATAGACTGACAGACCAGTCTCTGGTGGCGTCTCTAGACAATAGACTGACAGACCGGCTTCTGGTGGCGTCTCTAGGCAAAAGATTGACAGACCGGCCTCTGGTGGTGTCTCTAGACAATAGACTGACAGACCGGCCTCTGATGGCGTCTCTCGACAATAGACTGACAAACCAGTCTCTGGTGGCGTCTCTAGACAATAGAATGACAGACCAGTCTCTGGTGGCGTCTCTAGACAATAGAATGACAGACCAGTCTCTGGTGGCGTCTCTAGACAATAGACTGACAGAACAGTCTCTCGTGGCGTCTCTAGACAATAGAATGAAAGACCGGTCTCTGGTGGCGTCTCTAAACAATAGACTGACAGACCAGTCTCTGGTGGTGTCTCTAGACAATAGAATGACAGACCAGTTTCTGGTAGCGTCTCTAGACAATAGACTGACAGACCGGCCTCTGGTGGCGTCTCTAGACAATAGAATGAAAGACCGGTCTCTGGTGGCGTCTCTAAACAATAGACTGACAGACCAGTCTCTGGTGGTGTCTCTAGACAATAGAATGACAGACCAGTCTCTGGTGGTGTCTCTAGACAATAGAATGACAGACCGGCCTCTGGTGACGTCTCTAGACAATAGACTGACAGACCAGTCTCTGCTGGCGTCTCTAGACAATAAACTGACAGACCAGTCTCTGGTGGTGTCTCTAGACAATAGAATGACAGACCGGCCTCTGGTGACGTCTCTAGACAATAGACTGACAGACTGGCCTCTGGTGGCGTCTCTAGACAATAGAATGACAGACCAGTCTCTGGTGGCATCTCTAGACAAGAGACTGACAGACCAGTCTCTGGTGGCGTCTCTAGACAATAGAATGACAGACCAGTCTCTGGTGGCGTCTCTAGACAATAGACTGACAAACCAGTCTCTGGTGGCATCTCTAGACAATAGACTGACAGACCAGTCTCTGGTGGTGTCTCTAGACAATAGAATGACAGACCAGTCTCTGGTGACGTCTCTAGACAATAGACTGACAGACCAGTCTCTGGTGACGTCTCTAGATAATAGAATGACAGACCAGTCTCTTGTGGCGTCTCTAGACAATAGACTGACAGACCAGTCTCTGTTGGCGTCTCTAGACAATAGAATGACAGACCAGTCTCTGGTGGTGTCTCTAGACAATAGACTGACAGACCAGCCTTTGGTGACGTCTCTAGACAATAGACTGACAAATCAGCCTCTGGTGGCGTCTCTAGACAATAGAATGACAGACCAGTCTCTGGTGGCGTCTCTAGACAATAGACTGACAAACCAGTCTCTGGTGGCATCTCTAGACAATAGACTGACAGACCAGTCTCTGGTGGTGTCTCTAGACAATAGAATGACAGACCAGTCTCTGGTGACGTCTCTAGACAATAGACTGACAGACCAGTCTCTGGTGACGTCTCTAGATAATAGAATGACAGACCAGTCTCTGGTGGCATCTCTTGGCAATAGAATGACAGACCAGTCTCTGGTGGTGTCTCTAGACAATAGCCTGAAAGACCGGCCTCTGATGGGGGGGGGGGGTCTCTAGACAATAGAGTGACTATCTAGGACGTAAATACCGACGAAGCCTCAAACCTTGACTCTTGGCAACCTCGGAGAAGACGATCGAGAAGCCGTCGAAGCTCTTGAAGCCGTCCGCCTGGAAGAGGAGGTGCAGCGAGGAGCCCAAGGAGCGGGTCGGCGCCGGGCGGTTGTTCCCGCAGAAGCGGCCGATGACGGGCGAGTCGACGTTGTCCCCGTCGCGCACCTCCAGCACATCGTACTGGCACGCGTAGTCATGCTCCAGGCTCAGCATGGCGAACCTGCCGGCGACCGCCACAAACTGTCAGGACTCCCCGTGCGGTCGAGCAGCTCGACTGTCTTTACTGCCAAAAGCAAAGCGTTGTTCCAGAGGCAAAGCGTTGTTGCATAGCCTGGGAGCTGCGCTGGCGAAAAAACGGCCGACCACCCCTGCGGGAACGGAGCCGTGACCTCGCAGTACTTAGAAGGAGGCGGTCCGAAGGATCTCAGGGACCTCGCTGAAGTCTAAAAATTGATCAATTCCTGCAAATGTTGTGGGTATAATCCATTTGGTGCCTTGTAGGTCAGCAGCGAGATCTTAATAGCGCACGCGATACTTGACTGGTAGCCAATGCAAAGATGAGAGAGCTGGTGTGTGATGTGCTCGCGAAACGGCGTGTGTGTGTAAGGACTCTCGCAACTGCATTCTGAGCAAGGTGGAGTCTACCGGGCACATTACTCGGAATCCCGAACAGTAATAATGTGTATTCTTGGGTCCTTCGGTAAGACCCAATAATATGAATTCCTGCAGTCATGAAAGCTTTAAGTCAAGATTTAGTAATAATATGTTGCAGTCATTAAGGTGGGTCAACACGAGAGCATGGCCCGGGCTCTTCAAGTCATTAGGTGGCCGGAAATAAACGCAGGTAACTGTTTAAATTACAACTCCTGGTTCGGTAGTTGAAATAACGGGGCAAAGTTTATTGACTTACACCCACACTTTGCCAGTCTACCCAGCAGTACAAATGGGTACACAACAGTGAGTCGATCTACAGGCCACCTTTGGTGGGGTAAAGTGTGGATAGATTGAAAACTAATGATTTCAAACGGCCTTTTGCATATAGTTTGTTGTTCTTCACCCCGCACCTCTGATTAGCATGGTTGGCTACGTATGGTGCAAAATAAGTTCAACATACATACGTTTCCCTCTTTCTGCTAAACTTCCACTGAAATTCATGACTGATCCGTGTCCTTTCAAAACCGGTAATCGAATCTGTGGAAATGGTTTATCGGTTTTTATCGGTTTCATCGGTTACCGGATGCGTTACCAACCCTTGTTTACTCCCGGCTCTCGTCAGTCGCTCTCACCGTAACTCGACCACGTGTCCCGGCCGCACGTTGATGACCCACTCGCAGTGGGCATTGGTCGGGTAGCCCTGGAGGCTTATAGTGCCCTTGGTGCCGTTAATAACACCTCCGCATTCTATTGAAACGACATCGCATCCAACAACAACGACACTCATTCAAATAATGTGCTGACGTTCCGTGCGCGTATGATGTTGCATCCAGGAATGAAGAGTCTTAAGGCACCAGGGAGGAGAAGCCTTATCAGTGAGAATTTGATCATTACATTAAACTCAACTATTTTTTTTATTTTACCAGGTAAGTCCCCATTGAGCTATTAAGGTATTTTTCAGAAGCGACCTGGCCATCACAAATAACAGTTTAACAAAGTGGCCTGTCGCGTGTAAATGTATTGCAGCCAAATACTCTCAAAAGCGCGTTTCTAAATGTGGAGGGAAAAACCGGAGGAACTGGAGGGAAATCCACGCGACCACGGTGAGAGCATGCAAACTCAAAATATACAAGAGTCTGGGTCGGGATTGAACCCACGACCTCCTGCATATCAGGTGAGGGAGTTAACATTTCACCGCCATGGCGCCCCCATCGAAGTAGTGTAGATATTATCCTTATACACGTGGCAATCTCGTCGGATGGTGTGAGGGTTATTGGCAAGAATCGTGGCATAAGACGACTACTGTAAGTGTCCTAAGCCAAAAACAAACGTGGATCATTGTTTTGGCTACAAAAACTATTTGTTTTAAGTTATATATACAGCACACAGTACATGTTGCACCACTTACAATATACACGGTGCTTCAATAAAATGTTAACACTTACATTCAACTATCGCTTTGAATGCTAAAACAAATGGATAATACACCCGTAACATGACAACAAATGTACGTTAATAGCTTTAAAAAGTAAAAGTCTCCACTTGTTCGCCGTCATTGTCAACACGTGGCCTGGAATCTTCTCCAGGTGGTCTCTAGAGCTCGGAGGCAGCATATTTCTTGTGGTGTTGTTGCAAATTCTCAGAAGTGTTTAAAAAAAAATATGAAGCACCCTGAATAACAATTGTGCTATCGAAGTCATGTCATTAGCCGGGCGGTGGTGGCTAGCCACGTAGCCTGTGATGCAGCACTGTGCAGGCGAAGGGGTTGGTGGATCACAAAATTGCTGCGAAACTCCCTTCCCGCGGGCGTCGAGGTGCCATGCGCTGGCTCGCCAGCATAGGCGGAGTTTGACTTCTATATTTGGTGGGGGGCATGGGTTTCGCTCTGTCCCTCACATTAGGAAGAGCGGGTGCATATAATTAATTTATATTTTTTCTTAATAGTAAACGACCGAAAATAAATTAATAAATGTGCCCAATCTTGATTTGAAGCTGTCGTGACTGCATGAATCCATACTCTTTGATTCTTTCGGTAAAGTCACGTAGTTAGAAATCAAATAAAATAAACTACGTCACTTTACCGAAAGAACCAAAAGGTATGGATTCCTGCAGTCACGAAAGCTTCAAATCACGTAGGTATAAAATAAAATAAATCACGACGTTTCGGGCGCAACAAAAGCGTCCGTCATCAGGTAGCACTGCCCCCCACCCCAGCCCACCCCCAAACACTCACAGCAAGGGCAAAAATCGACATGTTTCCATCTCATGCACTACCCCGGCCCAAACCGTGCTTAGCTCCTGTGATGTGACGAGATCGGGTGCTCTGCAGGTGCATTTTTTTGTTTTACGGGTGCATGGAAAATGCCAAGCGCGTGTTGCACAACGAGGAAACGTCTTGCCGTGCAATCGACGCCTACCGCATCCTCCGTCGCCTCCTCGCTTACTTACGCATGCAGTTTCCACCCGACCATCCATCCCCGCACACGCCACAGTAGTCGCCCTTCACGTAGAACGTGTCGAAGGTCCCCCAGGATCCGTTGAGGCACGTCCTGCAGTTCTCATAAATGCTGCAGCCTGCGAACACAGCGGTCGCCGCGGCGGTAAACCGGTAAACACGGAGCGTTGGGACCAACGGTGGGCCAATGGTTCTCACCGTATGGCAGCGTTGCACGGTTTACGGGGAAGTGAGCACACTTTGGCGTTTCACGGCCATGCCCAGAACATGCGTGGAATTGACGCTTTTGTAGCTCGCACCTCTGCACGTGAGCTTTCTCTTGTACGCGACAGTATGACGTTACGTGCACAGTATGTATGTTGAACTTCTTTCGCACCGTGCATAGCCAACTGCGCTAATCGGTTTGGCTACCAATTAACTGATCAATGAACTTCCCACATCCAGTGCATTATTTGTGCACGGTGCAACTATGGTGGTTAGCGGGGTCGCAGTTCGATTCCAGCTCATGGCCATTAATAGTGGCGAATATCTGAACCGGTCCTGGACCCCTTCCGCAAGGTCGACCCAGCCTTAGTGGTGCAGTGTGGATACGACACCAGTATTGGGTAGACAAAGGTGGCCGGGCATGGCGCTGACCACAAAACCCCTTCATGTTATCCGCGCTATTCTTCTCTGTTATCCGCAATTGTTTTTCCCGTATGCGGAGTAAATTCGCAGACGGACCCTGCGGATTGTGGGATGCGTGATATTGGTTCTGCAACACATCACCACGGATAAAAGCATTTCTTTTTTTCCTGCTGCACAAGGGGCCCGACTTGACCCCCTGACCGGGATGTGAACCCGCAACCTCTTAATTGCGAGCTGTGCCGCCCTAAACACAGCGCCTCGCGGCCAGACACATTCCACAGTTCACCTTGTAAATGAACCACTGTCGCAGTACGTACACACGCACACGCACATACAAACATCACATAAAAAAGGAGAGTCACTGACCCGCGCGAGCAACCTCCCAGCCCTGTGCGCGAGGATTACATCTCGCACTTAATGGCACCTATTAATCACACGTGGTAACGGGGTCAGACGGCCGTGCCCGCTGGCCTACAAATGAGTTCCTTCAAGCACAGAATGTGCATCGTGATTGCACCTCGGCGCAAAGTCGCGTGTTAAACGGCGTCGGTGCCAGATGCCATTTGAGATTCAGATAAAATGAATTCTGCTCTCGTGAATTTTTCTTTGATTTTAAATGCCCAGATGTTTAATCGGCACAATGTCAACCACTGTGTGTTTATTTTGCCAGCGTGCGTTTTTTTTTGTTTAACCATTTGCCTCCGTCTTTGCTGACCTCTGTAGAATGAAGATGCATGGTTTCATTTTACCTGGCCGAAAACATTGGCCTTAAGCAAACAGGACTTGAGTATAAGTAGCCTCTCATAAACTAACAAATGTACACATGTACTAAAGCTAATGGTGAAAAAACGTGCAATCCCGACAGAGCCCCTTTATAGGGAATTTTGGCCAATTCTAAACTGTCCAGACGTTGGGAGTACCAACATTTACCTCACCACACATGACTTGCCCATGGACTACACTGACGTGTATCGACTTATTACACTACTGAGGGATTTAAGAAACTTTCCCATTGTGGATCACAAGTGATGATCCCTCAAAGCCACTATCAAAAGACAAATATCCCACTTGTGAGGCAAGTGCTGTTAGCGAGCACGTATGAAGGCTGGCACGGCACACGAGGGGGTGGGTGGCCAGCACCACACCTGGCCGCCTTTGACTCCTTAGTGGCGATGTTTACACACCATACCAGGTACTAATTTGAGGCTGAGTTGACCTAGGGGTGGCCCAGAACCGGTTCAAATAATAATCGTCACCGGTGTTGGCCGTGAGCGGCAATCAAACTCGGGTCACAGGGTAACATAGCGCAGCATAGCGCTAACCGCCACACTACAGCCATGATCAGGATCACACAAAGCCGCATCAGATAGACGGAATTGTGAGACGCATGCAACATAATTAACCAACAACCTCCGCGCTGACCCAACAGCGGAGTCCCTGGCCTCGACCTCCATCTAGGATAGTGGACAGCACTCAACCGAATCCACTCAACGGGACACGGTCCATGATGCGGCCACCCGCTTCGCGAGTGGAAGATGAGGGATGTGGACCCAAAGGGTGCGACTGTGGCCACGAGTCCCCGGACCGCCGTGCGTGGAACGTATCGCATCGACCTGCCCCGCGCTCAGGTCTGTTGCCAGAGGCGCTTCATGATCTCCACTCACAGTCTGGGGAAGCCGCTGAGTGGATCGCCAAACTAGATGTCCCATTCTCTTTGGTTCTATTCGGTAAAGTCACGTAAAAAATAACAAAAATAAAAAAAATTCACGACGTTTCGGCCACAACACAAGTGGCCTTGATGAAGTGGCCTTGATGAAGGCCACTTGTGTTGTGGCCGAAACGTCGTGAATTTTTGTTTTTTTTTTGTTTTTTACGTGACTTTACCGAATAGAACCAAAGATTATGGATCCCTGCAGTCACGAAAGCTTTAAATCTAGAATAGATGTCCCATTGTCAGCCTTTCCCATCACACGAAAGAAGAAGTGGCCGGGAGGCAGAGCCATTCCCTATTCACCTTGGCTTGTGGCAGGGATGTCTTCTGGCTCCTACAGTCTTAAACACAAAAGCAAATCAATCGTGGAAAACTACAGTTCTAATTTACCACTGGTTGAGCTAAAGACCCGTGTGAGTTCAGGATAAACAATGAACTAAAACTTGATATAATGCAGTGCCATTCACACGAGGTCTCACAGCACCGCTAACAAACCCCCAATGACTATAAACCGAATAAAACCCTTAACAAATTAAAATGAATAGAACTGAGAAGGATAAAAATCACAAAACCTACACAAGATGGAGGGCACGCCAGTGACAACAGATTCTGAGAGTCCCGAAGGTTCTGCAGAAGAGCATTGGGTTCCCAGACGGGGAGAAAACTAAAACCAAAATGTATATTTTTTTTACCAGGTAAGGCCCCGCTGAGCTACGCAGAATTGACCTGGCTATCACAAATGACAGCTCAACGAAGCGGCCTGCTGCCGAAGGCTCCATCGCTCATTCGTCTCAAAACAAGGAAGCGAGATGTCGTGAGGATGGATGCAAAGTACCCTGAGCAGGACCCTTGCACACTCGGTAATGATTTTGGACCCTTTTTTAAAATAGATTCTGGAATATACATTTACTTCCTTCCCTTTCGCTAAATGCCAGGAGGATACGCGGAAAGTGTTTTGTTTTTTTCCCCCACCATAACTTGGGCAGATTTTTTTTGTTCAATCCACTCATCGGCTCTTCATTAAACAAGGTTAAATCTCAGGAATGTATGTTCTTACTTGAACCAATGGGCATGACTGGAATACATTTTCAGTAAGAAAAAAAACGTGACAGTTTAGTTTTAAACTAAATATGTCATCCTGGTTTCTGAATGCCATTTGTCTGCAGCATACATTGCTTATTTGTGAAAGTTAAAAACCCAGTGCAGTTGTTATGCGATCTGGAGACTTAAAGGATATCAGACAGACAGATGGGTCAGCGGTCAGCGGTCAGCCAGCCCAGTCACCAATGACTGCATACAACACATCTTATTTAAAGAAAGCGTTTACAATTAATTTCACGTTTAAGCTCTAGGAAATGTTGTTTTATATTTACTTATTTGACAGCCGTGTGACTGAACATCTCTCTCGGCAAGAGACGTGGGCATGGCGCAGCACTTCCCACGTGGATCCGAGGTCACCCAGAGGGACCTCGGAGAAAGTTCCTCGGAGCTCTCACAGGGCGGCAGCGAAACATCAAATTATAAATGTTGAGGGTTTACTCTCCAACACACCTCTGTACTGGAGTATGAAATAACTAAATCCACTTATACGTCTACACAGCATCTATACAGACGAATGTATGTGTAGTGATTCTGTCGCAATCGAAAATAATCACCCACTGTGTGTGTGACACAGGCAGTCAGAAGGTCAAGCACACTGTGTGTGTGACACGGTCAGAAGGTCAAGCACACTGTGTGTGTGACACAGACAGTCAGAAGGTCAAGCACACTGTGTGTGTGACACAGTCAGAAGGTCAAGCACACTGTGTGTGTGACACAGTCAGAAGGTCAAGCACACTGTGTGTGTGACACAGGCAGTCAGAAGGTCAAGCACACTGTGTGTGTGACACAGTCAGAAGGTCAAGCACACTGTGTGTGTGACACAGTCAGAAGGTCAAGCACACTGTGTGTGTGACACAGTCAGAAGGTCAAGCACACTGTGTGTGACACAGTCAGAAGATCAAGCACACTGTGTGTGTGATACAGACAGTCAGAAGGTCAAGGACACTGTGTGTGTGACACAGACAGTCAAAAGGTCAAACACACTGTGTGTGTGACACAGTCAGAAGGTCACACACACTGTGTGTGACACAGACAGACAGAAGGTCAAGCACACTGTGTGTGACAGACAGAGGTCAAGCACACTGTGTGTGTGACACGGTCAGAAGGTCAAGCACACTGTGTGTGTGACACAGTCAGAAGGTCAAGCACACTGTGTGTGTGACACAGTCAGAAGGTCAAACACACTGTGTGTGTGACACAGACAGAAGGTAAAGCACACTGTGTGTGACACAGACAGTCAGAAGGTCAAGCACACTGTGTGTGTGACACAGTCAGAAGGCCAAGCACACTGTGTGTGTGATACAGACAGACAGAAGGTCAAGCACACTGTGTGTGTGACACAGACAGTCAGAAGGTAAAGCACACTGTGTGTGTGACACAGTCAGAAGGTCAAGCACACTGTGTGTGTGTGTGACACACACAGTCAGAAGGTCAAGCACACTGTGTGTGACACAGACAGACAGAAGGTCAAGCACACTGTGTGTGACAGACAGAAGGTCAAGCACACTGTGTGTGTAACACAGGCAGTCAGAAGGTCAAGCACACTGTGTGTGACACAGTCAGAAGGTCAAACACACTGTGTGTGTGACACAGACAGAAGGTCAAGCACACTGTGTGTGTGACACAGGCAGTCAGAAGGTCAAGCACACTGTGTGTGACACAGTCAGAAGGTCAAACACACTGTGTGTGTGACACAGACAGAAGGTAAAGCACACTGTGTGTGACACAGACAGTCAGAAGGTCAAGCACACTGTGTGTGTGACACAGTCAGAAGGCCAAGCACACTGTGTGTGTGTGATACAGACAGACAGAAGGTCAAGCACACTGTGTGTGTGACACAGACAGTCAGAAGGTCAAGCACACTGTGTGTGTGACACAGTCAGAAGGTCAAGCACACTGTGTGTGTGTGTGACACACACAGTCAGAAGGTCAAGCACACTGTGTGTGACACAGACAGACAGAAGGTCAAGCACACTGTGTGTGACAGACAGAAGGTCAAGCACACTGTGTGTGTAACACAGGCAGTCAGAAGGTCAAGCACACTGTGTGTGACACAGTCAGAAGGTCAAACACACTGTGTGTGTGACACAGACAGAAGGTCAAGCACACTGTGTGTGTGACACAGGCAGTCAGAAGGTCAAGCACACTGTGTGTGACACAGTCAGAAGGTCAAACACACTGTGTGTGTGACACAGACAGAAGGTCACACGCACTGTGTGTGACACAGACAGTCAGAAGGTCAAGCACACTGTGTGTGTGACACGGTCAGAAGGTCAAGCACACTGTGTATGTGACACAGTCAGAAGGTCAAGCACACTGTGTGTGTGACACAGTCAGAAGGTAAAGCACACTGTGTGTGACACAGACAATCAGAAGGTCAAGCACACTGTGTGTGTGACACAGTCAGAAGGTCAAGTACACTGTGTGTGTGACACAGACAGTCAGAAGGTCAAGCACACTGTGTGTGACACAGACAGACAGAACGTCAAGCACACTGTGTGTGTGTGACACAGACAGACAGAAGGTCAAGCACACCTTCTGGGTGGTGCTCAACGGGCCTGAAAGGAGAATGGTTGGGGTTAGGGAACTGAAGGGGTTGGAGGAGACGTAGAAATGGAAATAGTGGAAAACGGAGGATGATTGACAAGGTGAAAGGTCGGAATCCATTGGGAAAGGTGGAAGGTGATTGGGAAAGGGGCTTGAGGAATGTATGAAGGAGTTTTGGAATGGTTGGACTGAAGGGGGTCCTTCAAGACTGTGTCTCGTGCTGGAAGAAATAAAGACTCATGCTGTTGAAGACTGCTGTGTCAGGCTATCACTGCATATGTACGCATGGCAGGGCCGGGAGTCCGGGGGCGAGGGCACCGGGCAGAGCCGAGGGCCTCTGTGAGAGTTCCGAGTGGACACCTCCGTCACCTCGAGGCGGACACGGTCGTGGATTTTCGTACGTCGGACCACGGACATTTCCGATGACCCCGTCCCCTGCCCGCTGCGTCGACCCCACCTGGGTGAATGATGCAGGGGTCGCACACGTCCTCGTCGTTGCGGCAACAGGGCACGGAGTAGCCGGTCGGATCTCCGGTGCCGGGACACACGCACTCGATCCTGCCCTCCTCACAGCAGCCGTGGCACAGGATGCTCCATTCGGCACCCGGGCAGGTGTTGAGCGTCACTGCGTGCGCGGAACGTGCACCGAAAACACACCCACCGGACAATGTTTCTCGATGAGCGCGATAGCTGGGTGATGGTGAGAAGGGAACTGGGCACTGATTTGGACACAACATTGCAGGATGGGCGGAACAACAGGGAAACCCATTTGACGTGTTGTCGCTGTTGTTCGTGGGAATGGAAGCAACCGGATAAAAGAGGAAGACGGAAGAGAGGATGGCTTGACGAGGGCGTGAGAGATCGGTGCGAGAAAAACGCGGCCACTGCTTGTGAGCGTATTGGCACAAGACAAAGGAAAGTGGAAACAAATGACGAAATGGGCAGTGGACACCACCGACGGGCTATCTGGCCATGGATCACGATGATGGTGATGATGAGCGCTAGGCCTGTTATTAAAACCGTGCATTATCCTGCATTGAAGTGCAACATCAGCACCATGATCTCGGTACAAATCTATCGCTGTCACCCAAATACAGATGCCAATGTCCTGACTGTCCTGGTAAATACCCAGACAGGCAGCACGCCAGGGACGTGCGGGCAAGGGAGGCAGGGGAGGCAGAGCCTCACCTGTCACACTCCAATGAAAATAGCTGTTACGAACAAAAAAAATATTAAGATTTTTCCACTGATCTGTGTTATCAATGGCATTTCTGTACGATTACAATAATTGATAGAGTCAAAATCGGCAAATTTGCGGAGCTCCGCTGCAAATACAGGGAGAGACGAGAGGTGAGGCAGCGACGAGCTCAGCCTCCCCTCTGATTGTGCAACCCCTCAGTAACTGGATGGAGCGCGGGCAATAAGCGCGTGCCTGTTACTATCTCAGTGTGTCACCAATGTAATGTTTGTAGATCCATTCATTTCATGTCCTCGCCAGGGGAGGCAGCTATCACATCTGCCTCACTGAGGGGGACGTGTCTAACACGCCCCCCTAAATGAGGACACGCCCCCTCAGTGAGGCCACGCCCCCCCCCCCCCCCCGTGAGGCCACGCCCCCCTCGGTGTGTGAATCTGGCTCTGATACTAGCCAGTGCCTCCCCAGCCATTGGCCTCAACCGCACGTCACTGCAGCACACCTATTACTTGAACAAATACTGTCGCTCCAACACGTGTTTATACATTTTTTCAGGACTATATAGTGGGTAGCAGAGGGCAGTGCAACAGAATGCATTATTGCATAGTACGGTACTACATTTCTATGCTCCCGCATCCGTGGTCACCGCCTTCACTGACCCATCGTGACCAGCGTGGTGAAGTTTGTTCAAATAACACAACGTGACTCGCACTGCGTGGGGAGTCCCTCGTCCAGCAGTGGAATGACAAAACAGCTGCATATGCAAAAGTTTGCTTTTCAAATGCGCAAATGTCAGAGGCTTGCAAACGAAAGGTTTGATCAAAGCACTTGATGCAGAGGCAAACGTGCACACAGCAGTACCGGACTAAGCTAGTGCCACGGGGCCTGTAGCATGATGTTATAAAGAGGCCCTAAATTAAAAAAAGAACACGTAAATATTAAAACACAACTTTTTTTAACTTGCATAGTAAAGTAATTGTATTTTTTTCATTTGCTATGCAGCCAGATAATACGACAAATCGATAAACTTAAACAGTCGTTCATAAAAGTTGAAGGCGGTATAGTACTATAGTAATAGAGCAAGTGCAGAATCACTGAACGTGTAGCAGCTACACGTGTAGTTCCTACACGTGTCGCAGTAGCTACTACACGTGATTGCATTGTCGGCTACTACACGTGTAGTAGCTACTACTACACTACTACTACTACACATGTAGCTACTACTACACGTGTAGTAGTAGCTATTACACGTGTAGTAGCTACTACTACACTACTACTACCCATGTAGCTACTACTACACGTGTAGTAGCTACTTTTGCTATTTGGTTAAACCGGTACTGGCACACAGTGCCTTGGGTAACGTTCTACTCGACCGGTAACGTTCTACTCGACCGGCTAATGGCATATTGCAGTGCTGCCTACCGTCGCTCGAAGTTGCATGGAGGCGTGATGGCTGACGGGGACATGTCACTTACGCCTTAAGCGGTCATCACATTTCAACTGCCAAGATATGTATGGTGCATATGGCGTGCCGCGTACAGAGTCGCCTGCCTGTCAACAAGTGGGAGACGACAAATAAGACATTGCTGATACGACTCATAATTGTGTCTGGCCACGGGTGTGAGGGTAATTGTGATGTGTCAAATCAGAGTTGGGGCTCACGATTGACGGCCGTATGGTCAATTGCACTGCCGATATTTAATCGATTAGGCAAATCATTGCATGTGTCAAGTTTGAAGCAATTAGCCAACTCCTTTCACGAGACATTAAGCAAAATGACTGAAAATTGTGATTGCATTGTCGGCATATGATACTGCGCACATACTCTGACACACAAACACACACGCACACACACACACACGCCAACATACACGCGCGCGCACACACACACACATACAAAAAACTTCTTATGGAATTTATTTTTTGGCCGGAGCAACAATCGCAACCATGTGTTTTCTCCCATTGCAAAAAAAAAAGAGTCAATCGCACTTGAAGGCTCTCCTCCAAGCGGGGCCTCCAGACTGCACACATGTTTTTCCCTGAAATAAAACACCGCACGCACACACCCACTGGTTACCAACACGGGGAAAGACACTCATTAATTTCGGTGCGTACCTGTGCAGACCAAGCACACTGCAGCTGCGCTTGACCCTTTGGCGTCAACGCCCAGCTGTTTGCCCGTCTCATTTCACGAATTGGCTTTGAGGATTTTTTTTTCTTTGTTTAACGTTCATGTGGGAATCTGTTTTTTTTTTTATCACGAATTACGTTCCATTTGTGGATATGGCCATTAATATGCACTTGGAAATTCCATTATCATCCGAAGATTCATATCGTTGCTGGGAATTAGTCCCGTAAGATGATACGGCGAAAATACGTTTGGGCTCATTCCAAGAGGCGCTTTCTTATCTTACGATTACAGGATGCCGCTTTCCTGCCCCGTAATGATTCAGTTCAGCACATGTTTAGTCATCCAATACGTTGACAAATTGAACTCCAGAGTCGTTGCTGATCGTGCCGAGACCATTGTCTCCACGAAACGTGAGAACGTTGCATTCGCCACGGGTGACTCCATAGCTTCACAACCCCAAATATCGGCACCATACAATTATTTTACGAAATGTGCACATTGTTTGGCTGTCTATCCCTTTCTAGGAAACAAAAGTATAATCAGTTTCTAATGCGCTATTATTAGATGTTTTGCTGTGCAAAATGTTGTTCCGGCTGTAGACTGGCCCCTGCTGTAGGAATGTGGAATCTTCACGACAGGATCATCGTTGCCGCAGGATGAATGCCCAACAACACTTATTTGAGCACGGTGAAACACGATTCCATTGAACAATGCGCATTACTTTCCTTTTCTAACGTATGTTCATTCCAAATTCGCATGCACACGTTGGACAGAGGAAACGCATTTGCGAAACGTTTCACGCGGGAATTTGTGCAATAAATATATAATGTGCAGTCTCATACGACTACAATGATACAGTTCGTGGTTTAAAAAGGACAAAGATCCGCGTTTGGCCTCATAACTTAGCTTGCTAGTGCGGCACACAAGGGGTGGTGGTGCCAGGGGCCAACACAACACGTGGCCAAAGCACTTATTTGAAGCCGGCTTGACCTCTGGGATGCTCTAGCCAAATCCAGATACCAACTGCCACTGGTCATTACAATTATATTATATTATTTCATACGGCAACATGTTCAGGGGCTAGATGCCAATGTCGAGCTCTGCGAGAAAAAGGACGGGAGGGTTTAAGGTGAGAGTTTGTGTGGTTTTGCTATTCCTCCATTGAAGGAGTGCAGACTGCAGTGGTTGATGCCAATTATTGTCAGGTATTGAATTTAGGTGGCAGGTGTAAATGATTATTGGTTTTCGAGCGTGTATTCCCACAGGGAAACGAATATTTGTTCCCTCCAACAAATCTACTTATGCATATCCCTGGGTCAGGGGTCAAGGGTCAGGGGTTAGGAGTTAGTCTTAGGTAGAAGCAGATATACAATTACCAGGGGAGTGGCGGTCCTGAAATTCAAGCTTTTAAATAGGGCCCTACATTAATCAACATAACTTTAAACTAAAGTATTTTCTCTGGTGAATAGCAATACAATATATATTTTCTGAGTCTCTGTGGAGCCCCATTCGCCACTTATCCAACCCACTTGGGTCTGGGTTCCCCTCTTGGGTTAAAGGTTAGGGTTTAAAGTTCAGGGGTTTGGTGAGCAGGATGAAGTTAGGACCAAGCAGATGATATAAAAATGTTAAACTAAACTGAAAGCAAACTGAGTAAGCAACTGTTTCACAAATAAATGTGTAAAGTGTTGTGTAAAAAAAATGTAGGTTTTAGTTGAAAAATGCATGGATATAGACTTGCACGCAAAGAGAGAGAGAGAGATTTACTTCATCACAAAAAATAAAGCCGGTACAATTCGTCGGAAGGGGAACCAACATTCCTGTATCCTAGATTCTTGGCTCCCTGGGGGGACAAATAATTGAGAGAGAGAGAGAACATGTATTTTTGACAAGTAAATTGAACCGCAGTTTGCAACATTTTCATATTATTGTCTATATCCACAAGCACAAAGACATACACGAGCAAACAGCAGGGACCCACTGCATGTTTAGACGCAGAGGAATTTTGTTTGTATCCTAGTAGACTGGGTGGGTTGGAAAAAGCTAAATATTTCCAGGTATGAGCTTCCCCAAGGTTGCAATATACAGTGTTCAGCAAACGGGTGGAAACTGAACACGAGGACTGGGATGGTGTGGATGGACACAACTTTGTTGAATTAAAACATACAAAGACACAGACACACGTACAACGACACGCACATAATGGTGAACATTCCCTGTTTTCACTCATATGCTGTTTCAGGCACGTGGTGTTAGTGAGCACCTATGAGAACTAACCGCACCACGTGAGTTGGTGGTG